TGCTGAGGGTCTAAAAAAAGCCACATTCAAGGCACGGTGAAACTAAAGGAAGGAGAAAAAACAGGACAGTGAAGACTCAGAGCAACCACTGCTTTCTCCAACCAGCCCCAACCTGGTTTGTCAGAGAGTCACAGAATGGTTTGGGTTGGAAGGGACCTTAAAGCCCATCCAGTGCCACCCCCTGCCATGGGCAGGGACACCTCCCACCAGCCCAGGTTGCCCAAAGCCTCATCCAGCCTGGCCTTGAACCCCTCCAGGGATGGGGCATCCACAGCTGCTCTGGGCAACCTGGGCCACTGCCTCACCCCCCGCACAGGAAAACATTTCTTCCTCAGATCTCATCTCAATCTCCCCTCTTTCAGCTTAAAGCCAAAAAAAAAATTCATCTTGTCCAGAAGCATCTTTGGACCAGACTGACCATCCCCTGGGAGAAATACAGACACCTCGGAGTTGTATCCTACAGGACTGAGCTCACGCCACTCATCTCAGACACAAGAAAAGAAGAATGGACTTTAAAAAACAAAAATCAGCAGCAGCATTAAAGCCGTGGTTCGATTCCCTGACCATAACATCTGCTGCAGCTGGATTGCTCCCAAAGCATCCCCAGCCATCGGAGGTGTTGTGGGACAGAGAGCTCAGCCCATTTAGCAGCCATGGGACATCTCCAGCAGCTGAAGTGCTGTTAGCTGGCTACATCCAGACACCATTTGCCTCTCCAGGCATTTATGTAATTGGATATAGATATCTAATAGCTCAGAAAGTGCTTTTGTACAAGGCTCCACAGCAGACCTTAACTTTCCCTTCTCCCTAGGTCTGGGCATCCAAGCAGAAGAGCTGATCTCAACATCTAAAAAGCACTTTCTTCTTCTAAGTTCCTCTGTGAGAGACACCCACATCTCCTTCACCAAAGAAAATGTACTGTTTTAGATAATTTCTGTATTTACCTGGTTCTTGGAAAGGTTCTTCATTTGACAGGGTTCTGGATAAGATGAGGATAAGTGCCTCTTTAAATTGATCAAAGTGGACCTGGGGAAAAATAAAGGAAGAAAGGAGGAAAATTAAATATCAGGCTAATAATCCAGCAGGAAGATGGGCAGCAATGCAACTCGCTCGGACCACCACGCTGGAACAAGAGTGTGCCCATGTCTGCTGACCACCTTGGCAAGGGGCACGAGCAAACCTCAGCTCGTTTGGTCTCGGGGCTTGGAGGAACGACAGCAAGCAACATGAAGACACAACCAGCATCTTTGAGCACATGTCAAAAATGATCGGTATCACGGAACGACCCGAAGCCACTGCTTTAATGCATTGGTTGGGTTTTTCCATCAACCCGAAATAATGTGTCGAGAGGACCCGGGAGCATCCCCATCGCCTGAGCTGACCTGGGCAGGGTCACTGACTCCCCAGTCAGATACCGGTCCTGACCAGCGATGAGATACTGGGTTGGGGAAGTGCTCTGCTGCCCTAATTAAGCTTCAAAAAACACCTTCCAAAGCGGACGGCAGAACGTCGCACCCTTTCCAGGGCAGCCCTGCCCCAGCTCCCGCCTGCTGCAGTTCCATGAGGGCTGGACTGGAAATACCAGGACTGGAGCATGGCTATGGGAAAACAAGGAGGGATGAGCCTACCACTGTGTTTTGGGGGGTTTTTTGCCCTCTCTTCCATCTGTGTCTTCCTAGAAAGCCTCCTGCCTCACTGCCACGAACAGTTGCAAAGGGGCTGCAGCATCCTTCGCAGCCGCGCCGGGAATGTCAGCAATTCCAGCCGCAGGGGACAGAAAACCGGGGACAGCTGGGGAAGCTATTTGACATGGGTCAGTGGCAAGGCAGGGCTGGCTGCTACGATTTTTTTTTTTTTTTTTTGGCTAAATAAATCATGGGAGAATTTTTAGCCTTGAACGAGAGGCTCTGCATTTAAAGACCCCACAGAGGTTCCTCCTGCTGCAGAGTCGATTGCCGCGAATCCGGCACAAAGGGATTTTAATGCCGCTGGGGGAGGCACAAGTGGCAAAGCTCAGGTCTGAAGTTTGCCAGCTTCTCCTGGGGGTTGAGCCAGCCCAAAAAAAAAAGAGCAACGTGCTCCCCAGTGGGCAGGGGACAACAGAGGGGCTCGGGGCTCAGCAGCAGGGCTGGGGGCTCAGCCGCAGGCACGCAGGGAAGGGGAGCGCCTCACATGGCAGCTCGGGCAGTGGAAATCACCCCTGGGGTTTTAAACACGGGCTCCCCCAGTAATTAAACAGTTACAAACATCTTCAGTAAAGAAACTTGTCAGGGATGCCTTCATCTGAATACTAATTGCTGCCGTTCCTTTCCAAAGGCTGGGGTACTTCAAAAGGACAGTTTACAGAGATAGGAGAATTTGCCTGATTAAAAAAAACTTGACATTTAGACTAAATGAGGATGAATAAAAGATGAGGGTGTTCGAATAACAGGTCCCCTCCCCATGGGACCTGCCGGGGAAGGCAACAGTGACAACAGCCATGGGGACAGACAGAGCAGGTCCCTCAGATGGGACCTTATGGCAGGCAGAAAATAAAAAAAAAAACAGACAGAGCAGGTCCCTCAGATGGGACCTTATGGCAGCAAGAAATTAAAATAAAAATCACTTTCCATCACTGGTGCAAACAAATCGAGTGAGCCGGCAGAGTAAAACCACCCGGGCAGGTGTGGGGAGCACCACGGCCACGTCCCCTCTGCCTAACGAGCCCAGGACTTGTGTTTGCCAAGAAGCACTAACAAAGGGGGATGCAGGAAGGGGGGGGCTGCGCCCTCGCCCCCGCAGCTGCGCACGGGACAGATGGCTCCAGCTTCGAGGCCGCTGAGTGATTTTACCATGACCACCACGTCCAAAGGAACCCGAGGAAGATTAGGCTGCGGGGCAGGAGGCACTCATCCTCCTGTTCCCCCCACCCCATGCCAGCGCTGCAGGATTTAAAATTTAAAATGCAAATGAGCAGCACAGGGACACGGGGCGAGGGGTCCCGCAATGTGTCCAGCTCCGTAGACATAGCCCAAGCCCCCCTCCCCCCAGGATATTTTTCATCAGGAAAACCTCCAGCCCACCCTAACACAAGATAACCAGGATCTGCTTGTGGTGTGCATTGGACCCTGGGCGCTGCGTGTCTGCACACAGAGTTCAAGAAATGCAAGGGTTAAAAGTAGAGCTGGGCTCAAGTACAACCCATGGGACATCTCCCATTTTAACGAAAGCAATCCTTTGCACCCTGGGAGACAAGCTGCAGGCGATGCCCACATCACGGAGCACCCCACACGCATGTGCTCAGTACCCGCACGTCTCCAGCCCCCCTGGGCTGTGATATGGAGCGGCACAATCCTGCCCGGAAAACCCAAGGCAGGGAGGCTGTGGGATCCCTGCAAGTACAAAGGGCACTTCCACGGCTGCGACAGCCCACTGGGCAGGCACCAGTTTGCAGCAAGAGCCCTTGGTGTTTTGCTTGGATAATATTCTCCGTGTTTGTGCCCAGCCAGAGGCGTGGATCAGGGACAGAAGACGTGTCCCCACACACCCCACAGTGAGACCAGGGCTCTGTTAAGTCCCTGGTGATCAGAATTTTCCCAGAACAAGTAAATCAGAGCCAAACAAGACGAACATGCCGCACAGACACAGCAAGCCCAGCCCAGCTTCCCCACGGGAATCAGGAGCCAACCAAGCTGCCGGGCAATCCCAGCACCTTTGAGAAAACTTGACGCCTGCTTTAAAGCAACTTTCCTCTGAAGCCGTGACTTATTAGCACTAGAAAGAGAGGGTGCATGTGCCAAGCTACCTGCTGCTTCTTGCTGTTTGTCCCTGCAATGCAAAGCAGCCGTCTGCAACCCCGGTCTCTGGGACAAGCCAGCAAGCCAGCATCGGTGGCTCCTTCCAGCTCCAGCTCCTTGATCTTTGAGCAAAGTCCTTTTCCCAAAGCCCTGTCCCTGCTTGCAAACTCCTTCCAGCAGCAGCCAGAAGGTTGCAGAGGGAAATGTCAGGTTGGGAAAGGACAACCTTGCAATCAAGCCTCCTGCCTGGCATGCAAAAAGCCACCGTGCATCACGGGGAGCAGCATCCCAGCAAGCTCAGAGGGGGTATATATTTATACCAGCCAGAGCAGCGAAGGGAGCTGACAAGCGAAACCCCACACCGCGGTGTCCTTGCTACAGGTTTGCTAATGCCACAGTGCGGGGCAGGGTGAAACCTGAACTTCCCGTCCCTGCTGGAGGACAGCCGCAAAGGACGGTCCGTGGGCAGGGTCCGGAGGTGCCCGATTTACCCCCATCCCTGCAAATGATAGAACTGCAGTCAGCACTGCAGCCCAAGAGTGCTGTCCCCAAGGTGGCTAATTAAACCGCATCTCAAAGGGGAGACAAGAAGGACATGCCTGCAGCATCCTCTCTCGCAGACAAGCGCAAGGGGCTGGAGGAAACAGCCTTCCCAGGGAATCCCAGGAATGGCCGTGAGCATCGCCTCCGCATGCAATCTGGGCTGGTTTGGCTCTGCCATGAGCCAGGGCAGGATTTACACCCCCCTGCCGGACCCCCGTAATCCCCAAAGCATCGCACAGAGCATCACACAGCACATCCAGCCCCTCGCCGGGATGCGAGCTCAGCTCCCGGTCCAACCGAGCATCCCCATCACAGTACATTCATCCCCGGAGTGGAGCCCCCAGCACAAAAGCCAGCACGTGGCCCTGCCGAGTCACCCCTCGGCAGACAAAACGCTCCCCCCTCCCCGGTGCCCTCCTGTAAAACCCCCTCCCTGGAAGCGCAGGCGAACAAAGGATGCTCCCACCGCCGAGAGGGACCATCTGCGGCAGGGAGGCGGCGGGGCAGGTGCAAGGAGCCCGTGCTCGGGGAGCAACATGTTTGCTGCTATTCTCCGGACGAGCTCCCTGGGAAACCCAGAGGATTCGATAGCGATTACATCAGGCTCACGCTTAGACATGGGCCATTGCTGCTGCTAATGAGCACTAACGCCAGGGAGACGGGGGAAACGCAGGAGACAAAGATTATTCTGACGTTCAAATTGCAGGCTGTAAGTGAGAAGCATCCCCAA